CGTAAGTGCTTATAAGACTTGTAAAGTTATGTGTACGCACAATCAGGGTCTTTCATCACGAAACACAAACACTCACGATGTGCAATCAAGAGCGTAGAAATGAGATGGAAATGTATTCAGAGAACACCTAGTATCAAAACATTAAGTACACCAGGCCTCCACTTCAATTAAAAGAAGAGCTGATTCATGATCAATTCAACTTTTATGCAATATATGCTGGGTCCATCTTAAACCTGCGTTAACAGATTTTTGTTTTTGCCACTTGGAGGCCGCAGAGACTGTAATCCCAACCGTGGCACATTTGATATGGTGGACGTGTCAGCAAACAGCTGCTTATTCACACATCTAGCGGAGACAGAGCAGCATTAGCATTCATCCGGAGTCGTGTTTGTGTCCACCCGATGAATTGTAAGTCCAATATTCACTCATCTTTAATTTTCACTTTTTGTCTCTGCCACCTCCTGAGGGAAATCTCCGGGGCTGTATTCAGGAAACACTCCGACAATCCTCCGACTAGCTCCGGAGTGATTTAGGAAACTTCTCAGAGCAACTCTGAGCAAGTGAGGCACAGAAACAGTTTCCTCAGTGAGGAGGTGGGGTTGACCCCGTTGGTAGGAATGCTGCATTCTTTTAAAGAAGAGTGAAGGAACAATGCTCTCTTAGTGATGATGTGAAATCGATAGACTTAATCATAGAATTGTGTCTCTGTTCAGTCATGGAGTTATTATAAATACTATTTAATGTGATGATCTGTTCAATACATTGTAAGCCATAGGCCTACATTATTACATTACATTACATGACAGTCATTTAGCAGACGCTTTTATCCAAAGCGACTTACAATTCAGATGCTATCACACCGTGGACACAGCTACAGGAGCACATATCCCTGCATGATCTAATCTGCGGTGTTTCATCAACTCAATATTATATATAATATATTTGTCTTACCTCTTCGTCTTTTCACCGTTTTTTCCCTCTGCTTAAGAAACTCTTAAGCCTCTTAAAAGTCCTCCTCCCAACTCACAAAGGAGCTCTTTAAGATGCTTTGTGACTAACTTTTATCTTTACCAGGAAGCTATTTCAACTTTCAGGGGAATCATTCTAAGAATATTCATAGAGTTTCGTCACCAGGAGCAACTCTTTGTACTACGAAGCTTTATGAACACTGCCCAAGGGCTGTTTAGCCGTTGAATGATCCGCCAGCTATTCACCAACATTGTTGTTAAAGTTGAAGGGCCGTAAAAGCGAAACGATTAGCTTAAAGATGCCAAAAAGCTCCATAGAGCTGAGGGAGCTGCAGAGTCGAGTGATTCTCTGTGGCTTTGTAACAACGCGACCCCTTTCACATACACGGTCATTTCATCTATTGTTCATATTACAAAATTGATTAAAGCAGCTTTAAAATAAGGATTTGCTGCTTGTCATATCATTGTAGATTGAATATCAGTGGATTTAGACTACTGGTCGAAAAACAAAGCACAATAATCTACTAGTGTATCTGTTTTGTAATCTAATCTAATGTAATCCACATCTCCACACACACACACACACACAGCAGATCTGAGCACAATCACAATGAGGGCTCCCAGATAACAATCATGCAAACTGGCATCCAGTGCACACAGGATTCATGTAAAGCCCCTTTTCTTCTATTGTAAGCGCAGGCCCATGCGTGTACATTACAGTACATAATACCGTATGCATGCTTCTCCCACATTAACATGCAGGGAGTCTAGTGCGGTACATTCCTCGCCACGCACGATATGAAATGACATGCATGCAATCTCACACACACATGAATACACAGTGAGTCATTGTTATTTAGCTGGGTTTACCTACGAGCCATATCACAGACACACTGACTCAGTTATTTGCTCATGCACATGCTCTGATTTTCCGTGTGTGTGTGTGTGTGTGTGTATGATAAGCCTAAAAGGCCATTTCAAAGGTCAGTTCACCCAAATTACAATTTGCAAAGCCCAAGATAACATCTTCAGAGTCAGTTGTATATTTAATTTGCTATCATATGCAGACATTTTCAAATTTGAGGAACCTGAAACATGCAAATTATAATTTTCCTTGAAAACCGCAAATCAAAACGGTGGCTAATTAATTTCCTATTGTGGGCGAACCAATCCTCTCGCACGCATATGCACACACACACACACATTCGGCATTGTTTAATAATCCAGGACATGTCCATACGCATACACGACAATAATTCGTATTTTCCTGTGGAAGCTATGTGACACACACCTGCATAATCAAAGGCAAGAAGAAGAGGGAGGGGGGGGGGGGAGTGAAGCAGAGACACAGCAGGCTTGGTCGTCTGTTGTTGGAAACAAAGTGCTGCTAAAATGATTCACTCGCTGCATTTAAGCACATTCCCTCATTAAACTACAGCAGCCGGCAGACTGGACGGCTAGACGGACCAACTCGTGCACACATACACGCGTTACTTCATGGACAAGCGCACTCCTAGTTATGCATCGTCAAACTCGCACAAATGCGCATGCACAGGTGACAGGAGCAGAGAGAGAGAGAGAGAAGTGGGTCAGAACAACCAGCTCAGTCTCAGTGCGTTTGAGACATGCAAGAGGTCCCCTCGTCTCACATTAGGAACGACACACAGACGCACACAACACAGCGACAGCATATTAGGGCCAATGTAGGTCAAACAGTAATAATTACGGAGTAGCTTTACAGGAATAAACTTGCATATTCTCTAATATGAAAGTGCTAAATCTGTGAGAAAAAGATACATATATGCGTCATCTTTGGTGTTCGCTCTGTGTTCTTTTATTAACATAAATAAATACTACTAATAAAAAAAATTGCAGTCTGCGTTACCGCAGTGTTTACCTGCAGTCTGGTTCCTTGACATGTTTTATTTCTCCTACATGAGCGATTTGATTTCAGAGAATTTGACTTTATGTCAGAGAATATTCCATTTTTTTCTTACAAATTTGTGAATTTCTTTCTTGTGAATTTATCCCCTCCAATGCACACATAACCATTACAATATGAATGAATTCTTACGCCAACATGCCAAACTAAATATAGTTACTCCAGGAGATGAAATGTATTTGCTTTTGAATGTAACACACACACTCTGTTATTTACTCCCTTGCCCCAGATGTATGAATACTATATTCTGTGTAGTAGATTGTATCCTGAGAGATGCAATCTACCAATCCATTTACTCATGCGTAGCTAAATGAATATGTTTACCTAAATCCCAAGCTCAGAACAAGCTTTATACACAAAAAAATCCCTCAGAAATACGTTGTGTAAATCTCTTAACCCGTCGTGACTGGTATTTTGGCTCCGTGAATCATTTCAAATGTACATCACCGCTCCGGTTTATACTGCTGCGGATGCAAACGGATCCATCGCAGGCCCACGCACACATGCACATGCACATGGTGCATCAGTGGCCATGGCAAGGCTCTATCAACAGGTGGAGGAATATCAGTGCAGAAGCGTAGCAAACGCCAAACAAGGCTGCCTTTCAGTAAACCGATGCTTGTGCTTGTGTGTGCGTGTCCGTTTCCCATGTTTTGACACATTCATATTGAATACACAGCGACATCCATTCAGCTCTTGAAGTCCAGGACTGAGTGTATCCGTGGTAATTGATGCAAACATCAGCAATGAAATCTCCAATTTTCTCGTCCAGGGAGCAAAAAAAAAAAAAAAAGAGGCCTGCGTCTCGTCTCTCACGGAGGGTTCAAAAAACAAAACAAGACCAAAGTGAGTGTAGAAGACTAATGGCTGGCATATTATACACTGACGTCCCTTCTGCAAATAAACAAGCAGAGAGCTGGATGCCGAAAACGAGGAAGAGGAGGAGGGAGCGGGATGGGAGCAGGGCCTAAAGGAAGTGGGGGGGCGTAGTAATGAGACGAGGAGGAGCAGAGTGAGCTCTCCCATAAGAGCCTGTTTGTTTCCCCATCTGTTTACTCCACGGCGCAGCTCTTTACCAGGGGGCCGTTGCGCCACCCGTCCGTTGCTGTTCCACTCAGCGGATGAAGGCGAGCATTGTTGCGGAAGTTTCCATTGGGCTTCTTTTTCACAGCGCCGGTTTGAAATATGAGCACGAAGTGGCGGAGCTCGCCTGGGTGACGTATGGCATCAGTGGGAGTAGTGGCACCAGTTCAGGCCACACAAATCAATAGCGACCAGAGATTAGGGCATATTTACTTATGAGCTCAGTGATGGATATATTTTCCAACGTACTGTAGCTATCTGTGGTGGTGCCAACATGTCAGCAGGGTGGGGACTTTATTTGATTTATTGCTGCTCATAATCTGAGCCATCATAACTAAATATCAGAAATGCAAAGCCACATAAGTCCTGGTTTATGTTTTGTGTGACATACAGTATGTTGAATATCATTTATCAAAAGAGGCGCGTGTCACCACACTGGCAGCCTGTTTACTAGATATACGTTTGCTGTCATGTAGTTATTTCACTAGTTGGTGCTTTCCTGTTGCCATCGTCCACACATCAATGTATTCATCGTTGACATATCAGTGGACATTGGTCCATTTTTCCTTCCTATAATCACTTCTTTTAACACCAAAGTCTATTCTGACTTTCATTTCGTATTTAATTGGGTTCAGGCACACCACCTGACAATAAATCATTTAAAAACAATAAAAATAAGGAAAGAAAATAATGTGTGTTTCCATTCTCCCAGAAAACCTTTGTATGTGTTTCAACCCACAGTTTAGGCCAATCAGAGGCTTCTATCTGAACACATACAGAGCGTATTCACAGACATAACTACATATTTCTCCAACACATGTTTTCATGCAGTTATACTGACACATGACTGTGCTATTGAACCAATTGTTGGACTCTTCAATAGAGCTTGAAAGATGCATCTTAAACTTTGACCCCATATCTGCTTTTAATGCTGCGAACATAAAATTAAACAGGATCTACAGATCCGTGTATTATAATTGTTCCTCTCTTCTTCTTCTTTTTTTAAGGTTTGACTACCAGGAGCTCCTCCACAACTCCACCTTCTGCTTGGTGCCTCGAGGTCGACGCCTGGGCTCCTTCCGCTTCCTGGAGTCTCTACAGGTAAAATATATATTATTCAATGTGATACACAGTCAATAATATTCAGTTTAGAAGTCAACCATGTGAGCATGCTCTGCGTTAAAACATTGTCCCTCAGCTTCTTACTGTGATCAACCCGAACCCCTCTGCTCTCACTGTCGGTGTATTTAATGCTATCGCGCAAAACCGAGTTTTCAGGGGCTTTAAGTTGCACGAGCCTGACTGCACACAACCACTGATATTATCGAACACTGTAGGTTAACGAGTATAAATCCCTCACTCACACATAACTGACGAGTAACTCTTAAGAACTGTTAGTCGTCCTGCCTGAGTGCCCTACGATTAGCCCTACGACTCCCCAGTTTCTCTGAGGCCCACATAAACAAACGTCTGAAGTCTCTACAAGCTGCATGCCAACACAGCAATCACCAGAACAACGTTAGCTGCAGCATTTCCCCTCTGGATAACGCTGTTGAGAGTGACTAAATTACACTTTTCCAGGAAAGGGCTCTGCTTCACTGAGCTCCAGCTCATATACCGTTCGGTCAACAAGGAAGTGCACCGCGGTGCAGAGTGTTTACGTTCCAGGCCGTGGTTTATGTAGTCTTTTGGTTACTGACACCTTAATGGTCACATCTGCAAGTGTTTTCCCCCGGACCATTGTGTTGTGTTGAGTGCAGATCCAACCATAAAGGCTTTATTTGCTATTCGCGAGGCCTTTTAAACTAAAATGGGTCCATTAACAAACACACGCACACACTTACACTGTCATTTAAGTTCATCAGTGTAATGTGCAAGTACACAAACACTGAAGAAACCGCAGAGGCAGCGGAGTGAGAGAGCAGTTTAAACCAGTCCGCCTGTTGTCGTTCTCTCTCTCTGCCACCCAAGTCGACGGTCTCACACCGGTGCAGGAAGCAGTAGTGGCTGTTTTTAGATTCGCCGAACACTGAACCCCGGCTGCTAAAATGTTCTGTGTGTGTGTGTGTGTGTGTGTGTGTGTGTGTGTGCGTGTGCGTGTGAGAGAATGGTCCGGAAGCATCCATAGAAGTGGCAGCCTGCTCCTCCACTGATGTCTGCTGAATGGACAAATCCACACACACAACCCACTTGGCAGCAGGCAGCAGTCATGGTCCCTTTCTCCTCTTGTCTTCTTCATTCGTTCTCTCTGTCTTTTCCTCCCTGCTGGCCTCTCTCTTTTACATCTCTCTCTTTTTAAGATTTTTCAGTTGTGTGTATTTTTCTTTTCTTTTTTCATTTTGGTGCCGGCCAAGCCCACAAAAGAACTGCCAATTACCAATACCAGTGTGGTCGGAAACCTGCTGCCAGCTTTCCACACACAGACACATTTGCACACACACATTTATTCAAACCCTCCCCCTTCTCTATTTCCCAATGCAAACAAAACCATAAACAACTACACAGCACACAGGCTTTCATGTTAGCCTACCTCCAGGCAGGGAGGGCTTGGGATGTTTGAAACTCACCCTCAGAGTGCCTCATCTCTTGGGGGGGTAAGACTCAGGCAAGCCTCAGGCTGCATTTCAAATTTTGAGGCCTTGGATTAACACTCTGGGAGTCTTCGTGTGACCTGGTTTTAACCCGCCGCTCATTCTGACACATACACACACATACAAGTGCTCCTATTTGTTCGAGTGTCCTTCAGCAGGTTTATTCTCGGATGAAATGCAGTAGCGTGGAAGTCCCCGGTGGGACAGAGAGAGCATTTGATCTCCGCCAATTTTGGCTGCTGCTGCTGTTCTCTGGTGGTTTAATTAGAAAAAAAAAAGTGTGTTAGGGGTGCACAATAACACCCAGACCTATCAACACTCCAGACCACATACACAGAGGAAGAGAGCAGGATGGGATGAGAGAAATGGGGGGGGGGGGGGGGGGGGGGGGGG